CTTGGGGAAGCTGTGGCAGGAGGATTGCTTGAGGCCAGAAAAAAAAAGAAAAGGAAAAAAACAAGACCAAAATTAATAACAAATTGTATATAATATTATCTTATTGGTTAAAATACTTAAAGTCCTTATGAAAATTGTTATTTTTCCTAAATTTCTACTTGGTAATTGATCTGGGTGGTGAGCCAATTACAAGCAGTCAGTACTTTGGAAATGGCCGGGTTACAGAATTCAAGTATGGTGCAAAACTCGGCACAGTTATTCGCAAGTGGAACGGAGAGAAGATGCGTTACTTAAAATAAATAAATACAGCTTCTCCCCTGAATTATTTCAGAGATCTATTAGCCATAGTACCCCAGGGTGAGTTATTTTCTGGAACTTTCTTATTCAGACAGCTATCAAGGAGTCAGTTTGTAATGAGAAGTGTTCTAGTGCCCCGAACCCTAATCAATCATCGTTCGTATTTAGTGTCTGTCTCGAGACACTTTGCCTAAGAACCCTAAACAATCTCGGGGATTTTCCTCTAAGTATGAGATCAATATACTGGATTTGAGACTGATGTTTGCATATCATCATTTGAAACCATTCTTTATCATTCAAACAATCTCATCATTTGTAAAGTATGTACAATATGTCTATATTGTAGAACTCACATATATTAATTAACTTAAAGTATTCAAATATTTATATTATACCAATTAGTATTAAGGCTTTATTTTAATCTAGTTTGACATACTTCATAATGTGATATGGATATTGATCCTTCTGGAGTGCCTCTAAATTAGAATATGCTGAAACGTCCAAAAGGGAATTTTTAATAACAAAAATCTTATATATGTGATACCAAAAGAATTCAAGTATTGCATACATGTATATAAAATATGGGCTGTATATGTAGGTTACTCACGTGTGTTTGTTTATGGTATGTGTGCGCATATACATGTGTGTGCGCATATATGTGTGTGTATGTGTGTGTATGTGTGTATATATATATATACACAGAGATACATATATATATATATGTATATGTATATATATATATATATATATATATATATATGTATCTGATAAAATAACCATTTAATTAGAGAGTTTAATCTTCAGATGCCATGCAGAAGGAGATGCACGGTTAAGTTACTCTGAAACTATGGTGAAATAATACATAACTGCATATATTATTTTTCAAAAATAGGAACTGGGGAGAAGGTTGGGGTTTCATGTCTTCTGACAGAGCACTTGTCTTTGTGGATAAACATGACAATCAACGAGGACATGGGGCCGGAGGAGCTTCTATTCTTACCGTCTGGGACGCTAGGTAGAAAACAAAGTGCTCTATTTTTTAAATGCATCTTTTAATGATGGTCAGAATATTCTGTGATTCTAAGATAATATAATTATGTAACTTTCAGGCTGTATAAAATGGCAGTTGGATTTATGCTTGCTCATCCTTATGGATTTACACGAGTGATGTCAAGCTACCGTTGGGCAAGATGTTTTGAAAATGGACAAGTAAGTTTTGGAGTTATTCAAAATATCATGTTTTCGAGAAAAAGGAGGAAATTTTGTCCTAACTTAACATGGCCACTATTAATTCTATATGTATTCAACAAATGTTTATTACGTGTAAACCGGATACAGGGCTCTGATTTTAGTAATATAGATTGTATTAAAGTAGCAAAATGTATGTTCTCTGTTGTCAAAGAGTATGCAAGCTGTTGAGAAATATGACAAATATTCCCCTAGCCCACAGAAAACAAACACTTAATAATAAGAGGCAGACACAGGGAATAAAATATGGACTTCCAACAAGTACCTACCTCAGGGTTGATATGAGGATGATATATGCCAACTCTTCTAGAGAATTTAAAATGTCATCTGCCCATAGTGGGAGCAATATAAATATTTGTTAAATACTTTTGAAAAAGTTATATGGAATATAAAGCAATGATTCAGCTGAGCTGAGTTAAATAGGAAAAGTATCTTATAAGTGGAAGGAAATTATATGTACTAAAGAATAGAAATTTACAGAGTATTCCAAGAAAGATAAGAATGAGAAAAATATTTGGGAGTATGGTAAACACATTAATCTGATGAGTAGTCTCAGAAAGAAACAGAGAAATAAGAATGTAAAGATATTTGGAAAGCTAGTAGAAGGTTTTCTTTGAAACTAAAGGGTTCAGAAACAGCATCATAAAGAAACTTCACACTTAAAGCAGAAATTCCTCACTCCTATGAGGCAAACAGATATCTCTCTGGCTTCTTCTAGATGCCTTTCAGTTTGAGAAGTCCACTACCTTGTATAGCAACTCATTCTATTGTTAAACAGCTTTAATATTTACAAGGTGTGCATTTATATTGAGCCAACTTCTTCTAATTTCTACTAATTGGTCTTATTTCTGATGTTAGGAGCCTTGAGGATATTTTTAGTTTTTCTATTATTATAACATTTTCACTTTGCTAGGACAACTGCATGTTAAAAGCTCTTAATTTTTTTTGTTTTTCACCATATGACATGATTGTAAGGCCAACACTGTAACCTTCCTATGGTTATTTGGGTTTTTTAAATTAATATTTTTAGCAGTGCCAATCAGAAAAAGATATCAAAAATCTTGACAATTTTATTTAAAATATTTGGAAGTATTGTTTTGTACACTCTAATGATAGTTTTTTTTTTGTTTTGTTTTGATTTTTTTTTTTTTTTGCTCTGCAGAAGCTCTTAAGGTTAATTAGATCCCATTTGTTCATTTTGACTTTTGTTGCCGTTGCTTTTGGTGTTTTAGTCATGAAGTCCTTTCCCACGTCTATGCCCTGAATTTGTATTGCCTAAGCATGTTCAATAAAATGGCGGAAGACTAGAGTACCAGAGGCTAAGGGATTCCCAAGGGAAAATATGAGACTTGAGGTTGAAGATCTAGGTTCATGTCTGATAAGGTATGATTTTGTAGCCTACCATGAGTAGTTGGAATTATTCTGAGTGC